AGTCACATACACTAACTGCTATAGTGCTGACCATCACACCTTGCAGAGGAAGTCGCAGTAGAGGTAGCCTCCCCAGTGGGCCAGGGAGGTAAAGGGAATTGGTGAGCACCACACTGTCCAAAGCTGCAGCAGGTGGGATGGGGGGTGGCCAGTTCTTCTCTCAAAGAACTCATGATCCCAGGGGGCCACTAGAAAGGGTTAATAATTCAGGTGCCGGGGTGAGGGTCATGAATCTGCTGTGGTGGTCACTTCTTATGGATCCAACACAGTGGCTCTCATCCTGAGACTACCTTGGAGATAATGGGCAAAGTGAGGGAGAGAGTCAGGAAAGACTTTCTCTAGAGAAGATGATTCCAAACTCAGTACTGAACAGTCTTCCCAGGAAGGGTAAATGAGGGTGGGAGCGGGGATGGGGCAAATGAGTAGACGGTAATAATAACACTAATAGCGAGTGTTGTACTTAACCCTGAATTGTATCCCACATCTTTAAAATAAAAAAATTAAAAGACAAAAAAAAATTAGCAAAGATATCTTATACAATCAAAGGAAAACATATCTCTTTGCACAAAAAAGTGCTATACTAATATTTTCTGATTATTTATTATGAGCTGACATTGTGCTCTATGTTTCTTTCTTTCTTTTTTTTTTTAAGTGAGAAAGCAGGATTTATTGAGAGGACAGAAAAGCTCTCATAGTGAGAGGGGACCCGAAGGGGTTGCCCTATGTTTCTAAATTAAATTTATTCCTTGTGCTATTACTACATGCCCCAAAATAGGTACTATTGTGATCATGCCCATTTTACAAATGGGAAAATTAAGATGTAGAAAAGTTAAGTAACTAGTTCGAAGGAAATTGTCACAAGAATTCCAATTCAGTTAGTCTGAGTCTGACTTCAGAATATATAGTCTTAACAGCCATGATACAGAACTTCTATATGTTGAATTCTAACAACATTTCAATATTCCAACTTGTAAAGTACTGTTTTAAGAGTTCTTTATAAATTTATTTTATGAATGTGACACATGACATCTTTATAAAAACTGCCTGAAATCTACCTTTTGTTTCCAGGATCTTTATTTGCCAATAAAATCAAGAAGTCTATTTCAGCCAACAGATACACTTAAAAATTCATCATCTAAAAAAGAAATTTCAAGCAAATGACTAATGTCTTCAGGCCTTTTTTTAAACTACAGTGACTCAAAACAGTGACAAGTGTGCCAATCCACGTCATTGTGATTGCCAGTAAGTACAGTTTGTAGTCCTCGAGGCTGGCTCAGTCTTGTGCCAGGACGCACCATGATGCAGAAGCTTGCCCTTAGCTGCTTCTCCCTTTCTGCCTCTTTCTTCCATCATCCCTGTTCCACTGGGTCTTTTGTTTCTGCCTTCAAATAGTACCAAGCAGCCCAAATCTGCATCTAAAAAAGTTTTAAGCCATCCACAAGGGCCTAGCCTGTAACTATTCTGTTTCTGTGACGGACACCAAAAGGGAAAGCTAGCATAAAGGATAGTGCAAGTAAATGAGTCTACACAGAGGATCTCTTGCTTGTTGCCCACAAGCTGTGTGACCTTGAGAGGTTTATTTTTAAATGATGTGCCTCAATTTTCCTGTGGTAAAATAAAATGTTGGCTAATATGATCTCAAAGCTCCATTCAGTTATTTGACCAACAAAAAATACGTGAATCTGTAGAAAGTGCTTTGCTATGACCACCCACAGTCAGATCCTGCCGGTCTCCACTCACCAGAGCTCACTTCATCTAACAGACAGTATTTTAAAAACACAACACTGCTGTGCACAGGAAGGTGGCTGCTGGGAGAACACACCGGCAACACAACTTTTGCGGAAACTTTTTTGCATTAAAGCTTCAGTTTTAAAATTCCACGTATTCTCTACCAGAGCTATATTATTTCAAGATATTTTCAGACTTCCATGGTGTTACTACTATATAAGTAAAGAATCTGTAGACAGAAAACATACTTCTGCTTGGAGGAGAAGGAAAAACCATACTAGCTTTTTACTTCAAGGCAATTTAAAACTAGGTATGAATTGAAAGCAGTATTTTTTTTAGAAGGTTCATTCTGTTTCACACCAAACTGGACCACATATATCAACAAATTATTCTAGCATTACAGTTATGGGAAAGTGCTTCAAAATTATCCTTCAAAGAAACATACTGCTAAAATCTCTTTTAGAGAACTGCATTAGCCAGAGTTGCTGTCAGACTAACAGCCTCGTAGAATTGCTCATTTTTATAGAGGCTTACATACTTTCATAGATATATGTATACTAGAGAAGAGCATAAAGCTCTTCTCTATAATATAATTCTGCAAGTATTTTATTAGGCCGAATGTGAGATTAAAGTGTAGGCGCAATGCATTGAAATTTACCCTGTAATTACCACTTGAGCAATCTTTCCACAAAGACATAAGGTAAAGTGGTTGTCAACTGTAAGCCAACCTGAGAGGCAGGAAATATTAAACAAGAGCACAGAAGCGGTAACTATTATTCTACTTTGAATTGATTCCTCTCAAAAACATCTTGCGTTCTCAATTTAAGGCTAAACCAGACAGTTAATAAAATCAACAACCCAAACTGAACTCACTCCTGATGAAAATAAAATAATAAGAGTCTGGCTAAGGATATTTAGTATGCTCAGAAAGAACAAGGACTTCCAAGTTCTGTATGACCCCCTTGAGAAAAAGATTTCCATGGTTAAATAAACTTCACATAATCCACACCACACATTATATACTACAGATTGAAGAGTCCTACAGTTAAAAAAACAAACAAATAGACAAACAAAATCCTTGCTTAACTTTGTTTAGCTATGATTCTCCCAAATGTATCTAACTGGAGTGTCCTGTTAACATTTAAAAATAAACAACATGGTATTGATTGCATAATAAGTGTCAGGCACTGTTTTCTGCTTTACATAAATTAACTCCTTTAACATTCACAATAACCTCAAGAGGTAGGTACTATAATTACCCACATTTTACAGATGAACAACCTGTGGCAGAAAAAGGTTAAATGCCTTCCCCGAGGTCACATAGCTAGTAAGTGGCAGAGGTAAAGCTTGAGCTCAGGACAGGCTGGCTCCAGAATCTGCCTTTTCAACATTAGGCTGCTTCTATGTGATACCTGTTAAAAGATAAGGCAGAAATGCTCCCTGGAATTCTTGTTGGCAAATGCCAGCATACAATAATTTATATCTATACAAAAAGAAAAAAGAATTACATAAACAAAAGTGTGAGGAAATAGGCAAAAATTCTAACAGTTAACACAGTTGTGTTTTGCTGGCAGGATAATGCAAGGCTTTTTTTTTTCCTTGAGAATTTTTTTATTGTCCAACCTTCCCTCAAGAAATTGATGGCAGTAGTCAACCTTACTGAATGCTTACTATATCCAAGGTACTATGCTAAGTGCTTCACATGCCTCAAGTTATGGCATCCTCATCCCTCTGAAGTGGGCACTATTATCTCCACTTTACAGATGCGGAAACTGAGGCTCAGATGTCAGTAGTTCTCAAAACACAGTCCATCAGAACATGACTCTTCAAAATAAGACTCAAATGTTATCTTTTCTTGTTCACTGGGTTGCCCTTTGCACTGATCAGAGAAAAGAGATGGAGGTAAAATTGCTGACTCTTGGCACAGATCCTTGTGTAACAGGGCTGGCCTAGGAACCCGAGCTCACACTTTCTTAAAAAGTCAGTTTCAGCCAGGCTGGGTGGCTCAGCCTGTAATCCTGCGCCTTAGGAGGCTGAGGTGAGTGAAGTGCCTGAGCCCGTGGGTTCAAGACCCGCCTGGGCAACTTGGTGAGACCTCATCTCTACAATAAATAAAAAAATTAGCTGGGCGTGGTAGTGCACGCCTGTAGTTCCAGCTACGTGGAAGGCTGAGGCAGAAGGATCGCCAGAGCCCAGCAGGTCGAGGCTGCGGTGGCCGGGAGTGGCCACTGCACTCCAGTCTGGGCGACAGAGTAAGACTCCAACCCAAAAAAAAAAAAAAAAGTCAGTTTCACTTAAGAATGCCCTTGATGAAGCGGTAAAAACATACTGATTTCATTTAATCTTGACATCTTGACCCTTGAGGACAGGTGACGAAATGCAAGCACACACAGAACACGTGTGTGGCATCTCAAGGACAATGTGCTTGGCGAAAAAGCACTTGGGAGGAAAGCGTTTGAGTCGCCATCTAACCAAGGGCCTTTTTCATGGAGTACCGTCATCACTCGAAAGAACAACTGACTGAACAACTGTGGTTGTTCAGATGTTGGGTATCTGGCAGACATTTTTCAAAAATACATGAAGTGAGCCTGTCACTTGGAGGAAGCTAATGGACATTTACCTATTTGTTGCCACTGATGATATTATATTTGACTTTCAAATAAAAATGAGAACTTTGGAAAACTTCTACCACCGGAAGCTTGATATCTCCCCACTAATTAAAGACTTTTCTGCAGAGGCTGGTGGTGATACTGACAGATGTGTATATTTTTCTTGAATTGGTTTAAAACTTAGCATAAACTCAATGCAAGGCAAAAGAGATTTAAGGGGAGGTTTGCAAGAAGCTTCTGGAAAAGATTACTCCTGCTCAAGGAGGGCTTCCAGAAGCCAGCCCTGTCTCCTTCTGAGCAATGGGACACATGGATATGAAGCCTGGCACTGCTCCAGTGGCTGTGACCCCACAGGGAAGTCAACCTCAGATGAGCTGACACTGCAGAAAGTGGAGAAGAGACAGAAGAAACGAAGTCACAGGCAGCAGCACTGAGCAGCAGAACTAGATACCTCCTAAACCCTCCGACCTCTGGACCAGCCAATACAGCCTCTTCATTGTTGAAACCAGTTTGAATCCTAATTTGAGGCATACCGCTAAATTAAGCTAAATTTCAAAATCAAATATGAATGTAACACTTATATCATTAAAAAAGAACGTCTACTGGAAAAATCCACACTGAATGTGTATAGTTTCATAGGAATGGAACATTATTTTAAATTACCTTCTCAGTGTTCTTGTATTTCTCCCATCCTTTCAGCATTTTCAGCCATTTGGTAGTTCTTTCAATTTCCAGGTGCTTTTGCTAAAAAATAAAAAAAATAAAAAGTAATAATAATAAATTTAAAAAATTAAATTTCATTGTTACTTTACTTACAAATTACAGGAAAAAGTCAAATAAAATGCTGCTATAAAAGGACTAGTCAAAAAGTTATGTTAAATAACAATTATCCTATTTGACTATTAAAAAGCTGGATAATATGAGGGCTGTATCCATAGTATTCCATAACTAAAGTTAAGATGAACAGAAAATGCTCTATTTTGATAAAAAGAAAAAGGAATTGTTTTCTAACACTTTAAACCTAATCACCAAAAATTCTGTGTATTCTACAAATTCAAACACAAAGGGAATTTTAAAATATCTTTTACAAAGCAACAAAAATACCTCAAATTTCAATTCTCTTCTTTTGTATTTTACTGAATTTTAGTACATTAATATTTTGTGACAGAGCTGGCTTCTCATAGGAAAAGTAGGTATTTATTTATTGACAGAGCGATTAGCATATAATTAGCACGATGCTAGAGAAAAATTACATGAAAATAGTAAGTGATAGCTGCTACCCTAAGGGAAGGTGACCGGTGCTAAGGGTGATTGACTCAGATACACAGTGAGAGGCAGGTGCTGACAGAGACAGGGTCAAGGTGGAGGAGCAGTTAGATCCACCCAGGCATGTCAGAGAAAATGAGCCTACAGTGAAGAACTGAAAGATTAGCAGGGTTTAGATCAAATGCAACGTGGGAAAGAATTTTCTATTCTAGGTAGCATGGGAATCCATGCTCTTCTGAGGACCCATGGGTGCCTCTGAGAAGCATCGGGGGCTGAGGCCACCTAGGCCCGTGGGGGTCATATAGGCCCCACTGAACTTGGCTTGGGGCAGAGCTGGGGAGTGCGGAAGGTGACACTGAAAATGCTCGCTCCTTACTTCTTTGGTTTCTAGGAGGAGGGAGATTTTTTTCTGAGTCCTGGGGCCTACAGTGTCCCAAGCATATGATAAAGCGGTGACAGATCACATGGGAAAGGGAATGTTCTGAGGACACAATGCATGCTCCATGCCCACTCCAACTCCACGAGGCAGGCTGATCATCCTTTACTTTACAAGAAGGGAACGGGCACAAAGGGCTCAGGAAACCTGTCCCAATTCACCCTCTAGGAAGTGGCAGAAGAGGGGTTCCCAGCTAGGCAGCCTGGCTCTGGGGCCTGCTCAGTTAACCATCACATCCTCCGCCTCCTGCTCCCACCCTGTCGTGTGCCCTCGTTCAGGCAGACACAGCTCCTGGATGAGAACAGCCCCTCACCAACTGTCTCCACGCTGGCCTCAGGCGGGCAGGCACTATGCTGGCAGATGGCATATATGCTTAACTACCAATATTTTTAGATCTAAAAGCAGCATAAAATCCCAAAGAAAATTCCTAATTTAAGAAAAACATCTCACCAATGAGAATATTTTTGCATATTTTTATTTTTAGACATCTTAAAACTCTTTAATTACTTCTTAACTCTTTTAAAGATTCTTGATGGGTTTTTTTAATAATAAAAGATGAGCACTTGTGAGCAAAAGATATTTTGCTATAATTCCCATTTTTAAGGCTAAGCATATTCTTCATTATATTATTAGTGATAAAATGTTGCAGATGGTTCCAGAAATATGTTTAATTTTAAAACTCAGTGGGGCACTGAAATCTAATTAATGTTTCTGCTAAATGTGACTTCAGAGGAGGCCAAGCTGTGAAAAATTAAGATTGCTCTAAGTTGCCATTTAGTACTTTTTGTTCTTCTGCACTTCCTCCCCAGACTTCTTCAAAGCATAATCCCTTTTTCCACCAACAGGAGAACATCGAATAATTTGAGTCAACCCAAGAGTATAACAACATACACTTTGCCAGGAAAAACCCTGCTAAGATCTAGCAGGTCTCTTGCTATCTTTCATTTTTACAACAAAGACTTATCAACAAATCACTCTAAGTAGTCATTCTTTCTTTTAAGACATACTTGTTTTCTAATGCTTATCATCTATTATTTTAAATGCTATACATTCTCACACTGCAAGGACATAACACACACATACACATACAGTTTTTAAGAATTATTAAGTGTGCTTTTCTTTCCCCTATGGGTGAGGGGAGGATACACACTGGGAAAAGCTCCCAGGCCATAGGAGTGGTTCAACCAAGTTTAAATGCTAATTCCATAATGTTGTCAGTTCAACTATACTGGACTTGAATCACATGAAAGTCTTTCCTCCCCACTCATGAGTCTGTAATTCACAAAGCATACTTTCTCACCAAACAGGCTGAGGTTATTTTAGCAACTGTTTTGAAAAAGTAACTGTACATATACTTTACATGTGACAATGTGAACTTAAGAGCCCTAGAAAAAGACTGAAGACCCTTATCTTGCCATAGACTCAACACCATCAAAACAAAATTAGAATACAATAGCATATTCACATCTCCAACTACAAGTTCAACAACCACTTTAAATTCAACGAAAACAATTTCCCCAAGCAAGCTGCTACAGTCCTTCTGTTCCCTGACATGAATTAACAGCACCACTGCCCACTGAGTCTTCCTTGTATCTTACTTCCCACACCCAAGCTACACTCTGCTGGACCCATCTTCTGTCACTTGCTTCCATCCTGCCATCTGCCTTAGTCCAGGCAATTGGAGTTCGTGGATGAAAACAACAGTTCCTTGCTGGCATCCTTGTCTTCAATCTAGTCTGCACATTGATACAGCAACTTTTAAACATGTCCCAGTTTACCCTCCCTCAGCAGCTACCCATTTTCCACAAATAAGGTTCAACAGTTTATTTTCTCTTTAACTTTTTTTTAAATTTTATTTTTCAAATACTTATTTAGTTTTAAAGATGTGGGGTACAATTCAGGGTTAGGTATGCAAATGTTCATTATGCAGGTACCCTTTTTGGTGAGGTGTGCCCCTCCCTTCCCTGGCAGTTTCTCTCAGCTGCCAATCCCACCCCCCTACCCCTGGCAGTTTCCCACTATTTACAATTCCTTTCTTAAAGTATTATGATAATTGCTCAAGGTCTGCTTATGAGTGAGAACATATGGTACATATGTTCTTTGTTTCTGTGATAGATCACTGAGTATGACAGACTCTAAATCCAACCAAGTTGCTGTGAAGACCATATGTTTATCCTTCTTTATGGCTGCATAATATTCCATTGTGTATATATACCACATTTTTTTAATCCAGTCCAGCTTCGATGGGCAGCATGGTTGGTTCCATGATTTTGTTACTGTGAATAGAGTTGCAACAAACATGTGTGTTATGTATCTTTTTGGTAGAATGACTTGAGTTCCTCTGGGTATATTCCCAATAGGGGAATTCTAGGTCATATGGAAGATCAATTTCTAGTTCCTTCAGAAATCATTACACTGTCTTCCAAAGAGGTTGCACTAGTCTGCACTCCCACCAGTAGTGTAGAAGTGTTCCTTTTTCTCCACATCCTTGCCAGCATCTGTTGTTGTATGTTTTATTACAGATGGCCGTTCTTACTGGGGTTAGGGGGTATCTCAATGTGGTTTTGATTTAGGAGAATCTATTCAGTAAATGGTGCTGGGAAAACTGGTTGATCACATGCAGAAGACTGAAACTGGACGCCTACCTACCACCATACACAAAAATTAACTCTAAATGGATTAAAGACCTAAACATAAAACCTCAAACCATAAGAATCTTGGAAAATGCAGGAGATACCCTTATGGAAATTGGAACTGGCAACCAATTTGTGATCAAAACCCCATGTGCCCATACCATAAGAGATAAGATAGACAAGTGAGACCTCATCAAACTGACAAACTCCTGCAAAACAAAAGAAACCATCAAGAGAGCAGGGAGACAGCCCACAGAATGGGAAAAAAAAATGTTTGCCAACTGTATATCTGACAATGGCCTAACATCTAGGATCTACAAGGAACTCAAACAAAAGGAAAAAGACAAACAGTCCCGTTAAAAAGTGGGCAAAAGACATGAATAGACACTTCTCAAAGGAAAATATACAGACACATGAAAAAGTGCTCAGCCTCACTAATCATCAGAGAAATGCAAATCAAAAGTGCAACCTTCTTCACATGCATGACCCTTCACAATGTGATCCCAAGTCACCTTCCAGCTTCATTCCTGCCGCTTTTATGATCTGGCCACCCTGAACTATCTGCCATTCCCAACGCACAATGTACTTTTATGCCTCTTTGACAAAAGCTTGCTATTTGTCTGCCTGTAACGCTCTTCCTCATCATCATCTGGTAAAGTCCTACGCATCCTCTCAAGACCCAGGTCAAACGTCCAAGGTCTGGAACCTTTCCCAATTTCTTCCATGCCCCAAGCAAAATTAACTATTCCCACAGCATGTCTCACCATGCACTAAGGATCCTCCTTACCTGGGTTCAGATCTGAGTTCTCCCCTATCCTGTCTGATGACTTTGGGGCAAATTACTTAATCTTTCTGCACCTTACTTGTCTCAGCTATAAAATGGGAATTACTGTTATTATTGTTCCAGCACCTAACATCTGTGTGCTGGTTGGCCTAACTGCTCTACTCAAATTGTCATTATTAAAGTATGAACTTCACGGCTACAGAGACCATATCATATGTTCACATCTTTTAATTCATAACCTAAAACTGAGGTTGTTATACAGGAAAAGCTAAACAAGCACTTTGAAATTAAACAGAATTTTCATAAGAAAAAAACTGAATAGCACTATGAAGTAATTAATAGCACTCTGTGGTCTTGAGGTGGAGAGACAGGAAGGAGAGTGAACATAAATAGACAGACCAAAACAAGAATATTACTTCTGCTAGCAGTCTGATCACTATAACACAGAAGTAACCAGAAGTGAACTATAACAACATCCCTTATGTGGCAGGATGGTAGCAATGGAATCATTTCATCATGTTGGTAATACTTCCAAAGTGCTGCCAAGGGGCAGAACCACACAGAAGCCTGCACACAATTGACATTAAATAATTCTGTTGGCTTCAAACACAAACAGCTTACTTCTCTCAATGTTTATTTTGAAATATTTCAAACCTACAGAAAAACTGAAAGAACAGCATACCATATACTCATGTAAGCTTCACTGAAATCTACCAATTCTTAACCTTTTGCCAGATTTCATTTATTTGTATTGTTTAGGTTTTGTGATTTTTGGGGGGTGGGGGGGCTGGTAACTTAAAAATCACAGACATGAACACTTCACACCTAAGAACAAAAACATGTTAGCCTCCTAATAATGGAGCTGCTCTTACACACAAGAAACTTAAAAGTGATTGGTTTTACCCCATAAACAGTCCATTGTGCCAAATACCCCACTTACCCCACAAAAGTTCTTTTTAGCTGGGCTTTTTATGGATAGGGAGGTAATTCAGGATCCAATTACAGATTGTGCATTGCGTTCATTGGGATGTCTCCATTTTTCTTTGACTTAGAACAGTGCCCTTGTCTTTTTGTCTTTGATGACAGTGACATTTTGAAGAGTCCAGGCCACACTATCTGGCCTTGCAGGACTACCTCTTCTAGATTTTGGCAGAATTATTACCCAGGGACGTTGTCCTTCTTACCATATCACACAGGATGCCTGTCTGTACTATTATTAGTGATGCTACAGTTTGATCACTGGTTAAACAGGGCATTTGCCCAATTTCTCCATTAACTAACAGATAAATTCTTTTGTAACTAATAAATACACATGGTATGCTTTAAGACAGTGTGGATACCCTGTTCCTCAACAACTCTATACAGTGGTCTCATCACCCACTGATAACCCCTGCCTTATCAATTATAACTGTAATGGTGGTAAAGTAGTATTTGGTTTTTCCCAATTCTATCATTCCTTCTATATTATTAACTTTTGACATTAAGACGTGTTTCCTTTGCAGTCCCTCCCTCTTTTAATATCACTATGGTCTAAAGGATTACTTTGTTCAATATATTATAATCCATTATTGTCATTATTCTTTGTGGACCTCGAACTGTCCCCTGGGGATGGTCTGACTACCTCCCACCTGATCAAAGATTTCTCCCCTTCAAATGGGTCCTATGGGTATGCCCTATTGGTCTTTTACCATTTCTTAGTTTTCTGACACAAAATGATTTTGGCCCACCTTAGAATTTTCCTAACTCAGACCTGGGAGCACCATTACGTTAAGAAACTGTGATTCTTTTTAATGGAAATGATATCCAGAAACTAAGACTTGGGTACAGATATGCTTGCTCATCACTGCAATTGGACATCAATGAGTCCCCAGATTGGGCCTACAGGAGGTCCTGGGAGGGAGGCACAGCCAGGAAGGGCGTGTAAGCTCCGTGCCCCTCCCCATGCTGTGCCCCAGGCACCTCTTCCATGTGGATGTTCCTGAGCTGCATCCTTTTGATAAATGGCTAATCTTTAGGAGTGCTTTCCCAAGTTCTGAAGGCCATTCTAGCAAATGATCAAACCCAAGAAGAGGGTCATGGGAACCTCTGATCTACAGCTCCTTAGTCAGATGCACATGTGGCGACCTGAGGCTTTCAACTGGCATCTGACATGAAGGGCAGTCTTGTGGGAGTGGGTCCTTAACCTGTGGAGTCTGCACTAACTCTGGTTAGCATCAGAATTGAGTTAAACTGTAGGAAACCCAGTAGGTGTCCACTTGGAGGAAACCCACACACATCCTGGTGACCAGAAGTATTTTGTGCTGTGCTTAACGTGAGAGAAGGAAAAATAGTTTGTCTTCCCATCATCTGTGTCTCTTTCTTCATCTCATACAACAGGGACACATGAATGAGGATGAAGTTGGCAGGAGTCACGCATGCCTAGACCTCACCAGCAGAGGTCAGAAGAGGACAAGAAGTACAAAAAGGAACACCTTGAGGTTGAAAGAAAAGTCTACAGATTGGGTATCTTGAATAAGATTTCAACTCACGTTAAATTAATAAGGAGATTTTAAAGACATTAAGAGGCTCCAATGTTCTATATACCATGTGAAAGACTGCATTGCATGAAGGAACAGCTGAGTCTATAAGAATTCATAGTTTTGCATTTCCTTCCTCTGTGTTAAACATCAATAAGCTCCAAGAAACAACGTAATCCATCATTAACGCTGTTCTCTACAGAGCAAATATAAGAAGTGTGCTTGTTTATCTAAGTGCATGTTTGGGGAAACCAAAGCACTTTGTAAACACCAAAACCAATCCTCCAATCCCCTCAGGAGAGGAGATATAGTAAACAACACGTTGGCCAAGCTGGAGCTACTCATTCTTGCACAAGGCTTCCCAAGAGGTAGAGCGTGCACCTGTCAAGCATATGCTCTGTAAAGGCTCTAGACCAGCAAGGCTATCTTTTCCTCTGATTTTATTCACTTAAAAAGTACATAAAATGTTTTATTAGTTTCCTGGAAATGGTAGAGCTTGGCCACCAGGACTAGCAGTTACTACAGAATAGACTGACCTAACTCAAAGCCAGAAAACCTGGGGGAAATCCTGATATATTAAGAAGTTTCAGCCTTAGACTGCTCTGCATGGGACTAAGTTTTCATCCCAATTTAAAGATACCAAAACAGTAACAGGCAGGTCATGTAATGCGAGTGCAGTTTATGAAGGAAAGGGCTTGGAGGCCTCAGTCAGCAGCCTCAGAGTCTGCCCGACCCTGATACAAGGTTGGCAAGTGAACGTAAACTTATGTCTTCTTTTTAAAAAAATTTTTAAAGTGTGCACAGCTCACTTTTTAGGGATTCGCCATTATATTAAATTCTTCGGAATAAACAACCCATCAGTTATAAGCCCAACTGTACTGGGTAAAAGGCCTTTTATTGTACAGGCGAGTCTCTTAAATAACAAATAAAAAGTTTAAAAAACAGCCTCCCTCAAGCATGTACCCTCTTAGTGTCTTAGATTCCTCCTTTTCTTCACTGCCACATTTCTTAAATCATCTAAACCACTGGTTTGAAGACCTTCAGACTTTCTGGGTGAGGAAATTACAAAAAGGGAGAAGGGAAGAATCAATATTAGGTTGTCAGATTTTTATTTTGCCAAACATGGATATCTCTGTTAAAAAAAAAACACCTTCTAGCTCTTTTCTCCCTAATTTCTCAAATAAAGAACACTGTAAGCTTCAAAGGATCATCTCTGCTAGTACTTAAATCAACATATAAGGGTTATAAAGGAGTCGTTACAGTCATTCACACAGGCCTTGAGAGAGGTAACACTGGAAGGCAGGCACAAATCCTTACGCCCTCACTCAAAGTGGACGCTGAGGGGTCACTGCGGCTGAGTTTACCAAGGGCTCACCACGCCCTTCACACCCTCCTCTCAGTCCTCAGCTACACACACTCTGCCTTGCCTGCAGCCAGCACCACCACTTCATCTCACACGGTGCTCCCGACGTCATGCAAAGGCCACCATCATCTCCCACCTGCGGTCTACCTGGCCTCCCTCCAGCCACAGCACAGTGGGCTTCTCCATGGCAGAAACTGTCTTCTCTAATCCTTGCAATGCAGTACCTCTACTCAATAACGTAGCTATTAACAATAAAGAAAGAAATCCATGTGCCAAAACATCTAAGTTAGGATAATACAAAAGAACCAGGCAATCATAAGAGAATTCAACTGCAAGAAGTCACCTATAGTGATCTCTACATAGGTACAATGGCAATTTTTGTCTACATCTTAAGGTTTCGCTATAGTTTTAATTTTCAGAAAATGTTAATCCTAGGAAGGTTTTCTAAAATATTTTTCAAATTCCAATTCCAGTTTTACCTCTCTTAGCTGAAACTAAGCCCCCTGACCCCATCAAACAAGCACAAACTGAGAATGACCCCAATCAATACCCACACTTCCACCATGCAATTCATTTCTTGTTACAGAAAAAAAATGGGGAAAAGGAGGGAGATTCTGAGCAATCTTAAAACATTCAATCACCACTTCTCATGCACACCCAGGTGTGGAACCAGCTGCTTGCAAAGTATAATGAGGAAAGGTTAAAATAAAAAGTTGAAGGTTTATGACGCAACACCTAAGTTCTTAAAATGCTAAAATACTTCTTTAATTACAGAAAATTGTCTTACTGTTCTTTGTGGGAAATGTCTTAAAGTCTCATGGAACAGTCATGCTCCAGACAGCTACTGGTCTAGAAGGGTGCTTGGCGAGCCAGAGAGTGCATAAGAATCCCTTGTGGAGCTTTTAAAAAATTACTTGCAGCTGGGCTCGGTGGCTCAGCCTGTAATCCTGCGCCTTGGGAGGCTGAGGTGAGTGGATTGCCTGAGCCCGCGGGTTCGAGACCCGCCTGGGTAACTTGGCGAGACCTCATCTCTACAATAAATAAATAAATAATTAGCCGGGAGTGGTAGCACACACCTGTAGTTCCAGCTACTTGGAAGGCTGAGGCAGAAGGATCGCCGGAGCCCAGCAGGTCGAGGCTGCGGTGGTCGGGAGCAGCCACTGCACTCCAGTCTGGGTGACAGAGTGAGACTCCAACTCAAAAACAAAAAACAAAAACAAAACAAAAAGCAAAAAAAAAATTACTTGCCCAGGCTCCGAACCCAGAGAGGCTGATTTCACAGACTGGGGTGGGCCTGGGCAACTGTGTTCTCAGAAGCTCCATACTCCGAAGCCCTTCCATCCTGGGACCTGCCAGGCCGGAAGGAAGTCTTTCTGGTAACTAATGGCTTTGCTTACTTTCAGGTATCCATTAGAATCTCATAAAATCTCCCAAAGTTATTTCACTATTAGTTTAATCACTTCCTTAGGGTCAAATTCTAGCAACAATGGCACCATTTCCATATAACACTGCACTCAAAATCACAAATGTGGGATTTTATTCCTCAAATAAAGGCAATTCACCAGCAGCTATAAATAAACGAAGAGCTGACTTACCCGCTCCATGGCTGCATTATGATACGGGAGCTCTTCCTCACTGCGGAGGAAAAACAGAATATGCAAAATAGTTGAAATCACAGCAAACTTTAAAAAACTGTACACCTATAGAAACACATGATGTTCAATATTTATTTGTCATCACAAGAGTTACATAAGCTTCCATTCACTGATTCAAGATGAAACAATAGCTACTTGGTAACCACAGCGCCCCCTATCTTCAAAACTCCTGACCTGCTCTGTCCCATACTGTAGCACCAGTCACGTGTCTATTTAATTTTAGATATAAATTAAAATTAAATTAGACTTAACATTGTGTTACTCAGTCTCACTTGTACAGTTCAAGTGCACAGAAGTCATATATAGCTGGAGGCTGCCATGTGGAACAGTACAGATACAGACATTTCCATCACCGCAGCAGTTCCGCTGACAGCCCTGCTCCAGACCGGAGTCACACGCTTCGGCTGCCAAGGTAAAATGTTCAAATAGTAAATATTTTAGGCTTTGTGGACCATACAGTCTTCTTTCACTATTCAGCTCTGATGCTGACACGCAAAAGCTGCCACAGACCAAATGTACATCAAGCATGGCTCTGACCCCACAAAACATGTACAGAAAGGTGGTGAGCCAGATTTGGTCCACAGTCCACAACTTGCCAACCTTTACGCTAGACCACCAACTCCACTTGTGGTTCCAACCACAGTCTATAATCAACAACAGTTTAAAAATTGGCATAAGGGGAAATACGGGCTGCAGTGGATTTGTGAGTTAAGAAAACTCATGTTTATTCTGTGCAGTAAGGTATACTTCACTGCCAAGACTTCAGGAGATAATTTTTAAAATATACACAAAAAGATAAAATTCATTATCTGATACAGTGCAGTTGAGACTCCTGTATCAACTGTCAGTAATATAAAAACAATGTGCCATCCATAAACAAAGTTATGCACTATAAGTAGCTTTCTCAGTAGTTTTGGCAACAATATATACACATTCTTGCCTTAGTTTCTCTTGAGACCAAATAACACACCACTTTTCAGAGCACAATAGACTAGTATTTAAGAGTTCAGTAGTTTTTTTGTTTTTGTTTTTGTTTTCTTTGAATCGGAGTCTCACTCTGTGTACCAGACTAGAGGGCTGCAGTAGCACGCTCTCAGTCACCGCAGCCTTGACCTGCTGGACTTAGGCGATCCATCTGCCTCAGCCCTCCAAGTAGCTGGAACTACAGGCACACACCACCAGCCTGACTTTTTTATTTAATGTAGAGCTGAGGTCTCACCAAGTTGCCCAGGCTGGTCTCAAACCAGTGGGATCAGGCAATCCTCTCACTTCGGCCTCTCAAAGTGCTGGGATTATAGGCATGACCCACCGCGCCCAGTTGAGTCCAGTCGTTTCAAAGGCAGTTTTTGCTACTCTAAAGAGTCCTTAGGTAAACTATTAACTTACAACAGAGGAACTGACAAAAAAGTGAAATAGCCAAGGAGATCTTAGAAAGAGCCCGAATATCCCATTTCACAGACAGTACAACCAACATTTTCACTGAATACAGATGCTCAGCACTATCCAATCCAGTGGGCTCAACGCAAAACAGATAAGTGCCTCGGATAGTGCAGGACTATGTGAAGAAACGGGATGGAGGGTGAGAAACCAATACTCAAGAAGAAGAGACACTTCGGGACTAAAAATAAAGTCCTAAGACCGTATAGATGGATGACAGAGCAAGAATGTGGCCCAGTTTTCCTATACAGATTTTCCTGCCTGTTTCTTCGTGCCGAAAACATGTTGTAGAGACTCTGCTGTGCACATACCAGCCTCCCCAGGACGTACCCTCCTCAGCCTCCCTGCCAGCACGTGCTCATTTCCAAGGACAGTGCTGCTGCCGCCTTACCCAGAGCCCCATGTGATGTCTAGAACACACACCTTAGTGCATGCGGTAAACGCTGCTGAACACATAGATGTGCAGGAGGATGCATGCATGCATGGACGCCTCTGGACCTTGCTACCTAAATGCCCCTCAAGCAGAAGAGAGGAAGGAGTACAGTCTGGGTTAGAGCAGAGCCTTCCTTTGGGTTGACCTGGCCCCCTACCTGCGTTTGCAGGGGAAACACTCCTCCATTTATGCATTGCCTCTGGTTGTTTCCATGCTACGATGGGAGAACTGAGTAGCTGTGACAAAGGACATATGGCCACAAAGCCAAAGATACTTAATATCTGACTCTTTATAGAAAATGTGTGCCTACCCCTGCTTGCGGGGTAGGACTTAAGAGCAAGGGCTTAAGGGCACCTACAGGCTGCTTTAAGAAAACATGATGCTGTCAGTCAGTGCCTGTGTGCCATAGAAACAGAGTGAGTGACAACAGCAGCAGTCATCCCTGGAAAGAGAGACGGCAGCTGGTTGTATTTTTCATCAACTATTCAAGTATTATTAATTAGAGCATATGTGCCTATGATTTCTCAACAACTCGGTGGAGTATTTCTGATAACTGTAAGATAAGTTTAATTAAGAAACTTAAAACTTAACTTGTTAAAATCAATAAGTTGAATATATTGGCTAAGTTGTTTTTTTTTTTTTAATGATGTAAATTTTATCTAAGTTTAAATTTACTCCAGTCAAAATTTACAGGATTTGTAGAAAGAGTTTTCAAGTCTTTGTCATCAAAACAGATATTCTTTAAAAACAAACTTAACTTTATTCCAGCTTTCATATAGTTATTTTACACAGTCATAGTGAACTACAGACAGTACACTAAATTTTAAAAATGTACACATTTTGATAGTTGAAAATCTGAAACTTGGTATTAATTTTATCTTCTCTATTTTTGGTACAATTTCCTTCTCATTCTTCTATTAATAGCTTGTGGCCTAAAGGCATTATCTATCATTATCCAAATACCAAGCATTCTTTGTTAAGCAGACAAGCGGTGACTATTTGTGATCAAAATGTTTAAAGTTCTCCGACTTCTTCCTTAAACAAGCTCTATCTCTCCATGCCCGACTCAAACTCTCCGGCACACCCGGGGGATAATGCCCCACTGCCGAGCGCTGAACAAGGATGTTGCTTGTCTAGCATCAAGCCAGGCTGGCTTGGCAACAGCTTTAATATTTATTGGGAAATCTGTTATAAAACCAAGTCAGTTCTAGGTTATATTTGTTAATTACTGTCATTCCTTCACATATCATAACAGGTAATTTAGGTTTCTAAAACTGCAACTAGACATGAGCTCAAGCAACAAAGGCTGCAAAGTTATTTTTTGCCATTTTATCATATTGACATTGACACTTAAAACCCAATTTCATTGCTGAACCAATCAAAAACTACAAAGAAGTAAGACAGTAGAAAGAAATGTTCTTTTGATCAAGGTGTGACAAGGAGTAGTATCTAAATGCCTGCACCAAGTGACTTTATTCAACAGGGCAGAAAACTCCAGTCTCCAGTGATGAGTAATAAAAGCCCCCAGTACCAACCTCTGGAGAAAATGTCTTACTTAAGCTAGACTCTGGAATAAAAACCACTGCTAGTGGTGGAATTTAATAATGCCTAACAGTCCTCTAATACCCATTTCTAGGCTTCGGTATCTTCATCTGTGCTGCCTGCCCAGGGCAGCACCATGGAGTACACAGAACTACAGTGACGATGTGAGAACCAGCATGATCTGCTTCACTTCCAGAGACTTGGGGAGCACAGCTGTCTAGGTGCGTATCTCAACAGCAGTGCTCACTTCAAACAGCACCCTTCTCTTGAACTACCCTTCTAGACATTTCAAAGCACTTATTCTCTGTATTGCTCTAATTAAAAATACCAGAAAGCAGCAACAGGCGTCGACTGAGGGCATTCAGAACACGGGCACCACAGGGAGACTGCCATGGTCTGCAACCTACTGCCCACACTGTCAACACACTGCAGTCAAGCTACCTGACTTCTCTGTGTTTCCATCTCATCATGCAGAAAGAGGAAGATAAAAGACCAGCCTGGGAAACACAGTGAGACCTTGTCTCTACAAAAAAATAAATAAAATCAGCAGGGTGTGTGTAGTGGTATGCACCTGTAGTCTCAGCTACTTGGGAGGCTGAGGTGGAAGGATCACTGGAGCCCAGGAGGTCAAGGCTGGTATGAGCCTGATGATGCCACTGCACTACAGTCTAGGCAACAAAGGGAGATCCTGACTCAAAATTTAAAAAATAAAAATAGAAAGAATATCTACCCAAAGAGCTTCTGCAGGGGAATAATTGAGTTATTCCATGTAAAGAGCTTAGAACAGTACCTGGCACACAGAAAGTGCGCAATAAATATTAGCTAATCTTATTAAGATGGTTGACTGATTGACTTTTTTCCTGCACTAGAGCCAAATGCATCTCAGCACAGAGAGTAAAGAATACAGAAGACCTGACTCCGGATTTCAGACTGCCAAAAACAGGCCAGGTTCTTGGGCCCAGAACTTCCTGTTTCTCAGATCCCGCACACGTTGTTTCAAGCAACAAGAAAACTTAGGCAATTAGTAGACCCTTTTGGAATGCACAGGTTCTTCATATGTATTTTACACCACATTGGACCATCTTATGATTACAAACATTGTCTATTACATAGTTCACTCCCATCAGAAACACTTGGGAAGGTCAAAATCAGCTGAGGTGCTTCCTACCTTCCAAATCAAAATCTAAAATAGAACTCAGAAATATATATATATATGTATTTAAAAATTTCTCAGCTGGTTCTAATGTTCACTGATGTTAAGAGTCTTAATGCTCATACTGTCTCTCATGCCCCACATCTACACACTAAGTCTCACATTTATAGCCAAGTGTAATTTTCTTTTTAAAGTGGGTGTGGGGATTTAATTTAAAAACAGTATTTCCATCATAGTTAAGTATTGCTGTTAGTCTACTGAAGTTAAAAGTCTTCCTCTTATTATAACTACTCAGAAGAATGTTTCAGATAGGCTAATGCCATTAGGTATAATAACAGTTTATATCTGTTCAGAGCTTTATAAAATACCCTTACACTTTATTTCTCCAAAGCCTCAAACATACCTGCAGGTATGTAAGGCAATTATTGATTCCCACTTTAAAGATGAAGCAGAGAATGGTTAACTGACCAGAAACCAGCAAAGCCACAAGGAGAGCACACATTCTCTAACTCCTGGAAGTGTTTCTCTTTGTGTGTTTGCTTGTTTTACTTTCAGAAAAACACAATATAACAAAGTAAATTCTAAACGTTGAAAAAGAAAAAACCTGAACAGGAGAAAATAAGGTCTGAGTACTGTAAGGTATGAGAAACTGTGCTTTTTTTATCCTTCAAAATATAATCATATATATCATAAATAAAAATTCCTGGCTTTTTTCCTATGTAAAATAAATGAAATTGGAAGAGTACATGTGAATGAAAATGCAGTTAATCACTAAATTGTATGGAATCAAACAAAGCACAGAGATGAAAGACATCTCCAGCCTGTGGGAATCTACTCAAACAACGCCAGAAGCAGAAAAGACAGATTCTTATCATTTACAGGATGTTTTTAAGAATCAAAATCACGGCCGGGCATGGTGGCTCAAGCTTGTAATCCTAGCACTTTGGGAGGCCGAGGCGAGAGGACTATCTAAGCCTAGGAATTCGAGACTAGTCAGGGCAACTTGGTGAGAACTCATCTATTCAGTAAATCAAAAAATTAGCTGGGCGTGGTGGCGCACACCTGTAGGTCCAGCTACTTGAAAGGCTGAGGCAGAAGGATCGCCTGAGCCCAGCAGGTCGAGGCTGTGGTGGCCATGAATGTACCACTGCACTCCATCCTGGGTGACAGAGTGAGATTCTGACTTAAAAAAAAGAGTCAAAATCACTTTCACTGCTTTATTTTACAGTGGTCTAGACTGCTCTCAGCCCTTTACATAACATATTCAGGATAAACAGAATTAATTTTGAGAAGCAATATCATGAATACATGAACAACTATAAGAAAGATCGATGACATTTCCTTTCACTGTTCATGTGTAGGTTGCATAACCCTATAAAGTTCGAATTGCTAATTATTTTTAAGATGCACTGATATAAAGGGAGATGTTTTATAATTGTTTTTAAAATACAAATTATCCATTTGTACTTAATTCTGCTAAATTACTAGCACAACTCATTTATTGCACTTGTGTTCTTACTAAAATGCAAGGAATATTAAAGATTGTATTCTTAAATATAATTAAGTTTTTATCATAGAGGTTAAAAATGCCAGGAATTTAGTACCAAAAAAGCATATTGTAGGATGATTACTAGAACTGTATTCACAGCAATTCTATTAAGAATAAAGAAAATCAATAATAGGTGACCACAGAAACATTATAAACAAAAATGTTAGCTATCAATACATGTGACTTACTGTAAAAAGCCAAATCTATCTGTGACTTTGTAAACAAGGTAATCAGCATCTTCCCAAGGTTCAATCTCTGCACCTTCTCGTCCCTAAAATAGGGGACAAAAAAGGTGTTAGTGGAAGCTTATAAAACTGAATAATTTTTTAAAATAAAAGGGCCAAGAAGCAAAGGCTGTTTTGATGTATTACTAACAGCAAGAGCTGGAAATGAGGCATTATCAGCCTTACTTAACACTTTTTTTCCGTTAAGCCCAGCTATTTTTGGCAATATGATCACTATTTCCTAGTCAGGACTAGGAATGTGCTGCATGTCAGCAACAGCTGAGTGGAAGCGGACGAGGAAGGAGCAGCGGTGGAGGATGAGAAAGCTACTCGAGAAGGAACTGCCACTGTCAAGGTTTTAGACCAAACGTGTCTTAGGAAAAAAAACTCTTGCCTTCTCATCCACCTCTCAGAAAAGCAGGCTGTGCCTCTTATCTCTCTACATTCCTACCGCACAGCCCGTCAGCCCTGAAACTACCCTCAAGGTCAACACACCCTTCCAGTCTCAGACCCAGTGGCTACTGTGGGTCCTTACCTGAGGGAGCCTGGAAGTGCCAGTCAGGGCTTCTCACTCCCCTGCCCAGCCCCTGCGACCCCGCCTCTCGTGTGCCCTCTCATGGTCGCCTTGTGCCGCTGCACCTCTCCTTCCGGTGGTTTCTTCATGGCTAACTCCTGCTGGTGCCCAGAGTTCTGTCCTCAGCCCACTGCTCTGTCACTCCAGGCATCAATGACCAGTGTTATTAAGTCCAAATGTAAAGATCTATTCCAATCCCTCAAATTTTAGGCTCAAACACCCAACTGTGTGGGGAAAGCCCATTCGAGGATACTCCCTAACTGCCTGCATAGACTGAGAGCATCTTGAGGGCAAGGATTGAAGGGAACATGTTTTCATCTTATGAATGCCCAAGTCCCCGCATGGTGCCTGGCCTGTGTTAACTGTGTGATGAATAAATGATATTGCTGATGGTTTTAAATGAGTCAAACAGTTAAATAACTAATCTGTCATGGACTACAAAGAAACTTAACCACAATAATGGGAAAGTATGTCTGATGTCCCAAACAACCAACTTCAAAATGAACTCTGGGAACACACTGGTAAGCTGAGCACAGCTTGCATGCCTCACGCAAGAGGGGCACAGTCCAGATGGCATTCTATGACTTCATGTGCTTGTTATCCTCACAAATAATCAAAAATAACAGATATATAATTACATGCAAGTGACACAAATATAAAGCATGGCATTCACAAGTCACTGCTACGACTCATTATAGATCTCAAGAGGTAAGGTAATAAAAAAAGAGACGTGCAAATCATCAACAATTGTGATTTTCTAGGATATCAAAACAGACTCCATATTAACATAAGGATAAAATGAGAATGGAAATGACATATAAATGTACAAATTCAAAACCTAAGATCCATGATAAATTTAAAGTAGCACATATATACTATTAATACAATGGGTATTTAATCCCATACACTCACTTATTCAAGCATTTGTTGAGTACCTAATACGAATCAGGTACTGTTCTCAGTACTTAGGGTGTAAGAATAAATCAAACAGAAGAACTGCCTGCCTAGAATAGAGAGTTTAAATTCTATGAGCAGGAATAGATAACAAACAATAAAAGGAAAATATATAGAATGATGATGTAATAAACATTTTGGCGAGAAATAAAGGAATTACAGAGAGCTGGTGGCAGAAGGGGAATTATTAAACAGGGAGGTGGGAGGTCAGAAAAGACCTCACTAAGATGGTAGCATGTGGGTAAAGACCTGACAGAGGTGAGGCAACAAGGCATGAGGACATCCAGGATACAAGTGTTTTAGGCAGAGGAAACAGTCACTGCAAAGGCCCTGGGGCAGAAGCAAGCCTGATATTTTGAAGGAACAGAAAGAGGCTAGAAAGTGGCTGAATTTGAGCAAAGAAAGGAGAGAGAATTTGGAGATGAAGTCAGAGAAGGATAACCTCTATGTTTCCATGAAGTAAACAACTGTTTTTGTAATTTCAGGTCTCCAAAAGCGAACCTACTTCTATTTATATGGTTTTTCTAATAAAACTTACTCAAAGAACAAATGTGGATACTTACCCTGTCATATTTAGTAACTATTTCAGCTCGCTCCTGGGCAAGTTTGAATGCTACATCTTGATCTGAATCTGTGAAGACATCAAATTCAGATGAACTGTTATTCAAAGAATCATAAACATAATTAATTATAAAACCAAGACAAGACAAAATAAATAAAACAAAAGACTAATACTGCCTGAAGTGCCAAGAAAGAGTCAAACGTATCTATAACTGCAACTTTGCAATGGCAACATATAAGATCTTCAAAGAAAGCAAAACTATTAGCAGCATCGGCTTAGGGACACGGTCACTCTTACTCCTCAAGACTCAATTTCAGACCTAAAATTTCATAGAAACGGGTATTGAAGTAGAAACTGAAACTGAAAGCTCTAAGTTTTCAGATGAGACACACTTGGGTAGAGAAAAAGAACATTCACAAAGGCTTTAAAAAATTAAGGGAATTTGGCTCTCCATAAAATAGACTGGCACAAGATGCACATTGGGAGTTTTAAAAAATTTATCTTACATGATGAAAAAGTGTCTTCATTTAGCCTTTCAGGTTCCTTTGTCAACTATCTCAACGACCATAATAATCTCCTAACTGGTCTCTAGGCCTCCAGCCTTACAACGTGTGTGTATGCACACACACACATACACATATACACACACACCCTTCTTCTTAACAATAAGTGTCTTTCAAAAACACATCTGACAATAGTAGAGATTACCACATGAAATAGTATAAATATGATCATCCCAAGTGACATAAATAAATTTTTTAAACGACCAGTGACACAATGTATAAAAGGCATCTCTGCCCACAATGAAAAAGACCACGCTCAATAAAAAATCAGGCAAAAGTTATGAGCAAGAAATTCCCAACAGCAGCAACAACTATACTGTGTTCTTTTTTAACACCGTGTTCTTACTAAGTGCCCGCAGACAGGAAGATGCTGCGAGGCAGCAGACACTGCTAAGCATGTTACCTGCCTCAACACGAAGTTAGGTATCGTTATTCATCCTACACCAATGATAAAAAACAGAGCTCAGCGATTTTAAGCAGCTTGTCCACGGTCATCAAGCTAGTAAATCGGAAGGCCAAGATTCAAATCCAGAAAGTCTTGACTTCATCGCCCACAAGTTTAACCAACACTTCATAAAAATGATCACTAAAGACACAAAAAAGGACTTGCGGTCAAAGATGGCAGGCAGATGGAACACATGCTTCTACACCCATTTCTCTAAAACCCCACCGAGATAGCAAGTGCAGGGATTCTTGGGATCCCCTCCCTCAAAGGCCCAGCAAATAAACAGGGTGAAAAACAGGGAGCTGATTACAGGAAGTCACTCCCTGCAGGTAGACGGACTCGCACGCGTGTGGCCTCGGTGGGTGCAGGGAAGAAAACCAAATCCTCATTCTCCAAAGCAGGAAACCGGTAGATATGCCAAAAGCTGAGGAAGCAGGAAGTGGCGCCGTGGGCACGTTGCCGAGTGCTTGGGGGAAACAAAGAGGCTCGGCCAGGGAGGTGGACAGCGAGGAGGGAGGAGAGCATGAGAGGCTCCTGTTTTCAGAACAAGTCTTCGCAGATTGCTGAATCTTTAAGCCAAATATAGCTCTGGTAAAAATAAAATCTAAATTTGAACTGAGACATAGAAAAAAACCAACCTCGTCGGTAGCTAAAGAAATAAAAGTTTTAAAATATCACTTTGCACCTATCACAGACGAAACAAAAAAATGCACTGACATTACTCAACGTTGACAGCAATGTGGTGAAATCTGCAGTTTCTTACACTGAGAATAAACTTACAAACGTATAAAACCTCTGTGGAAAGTGATTTGATAACACAAATTTTAAAAATCTTAAAACAGGCATATCTTTTACCCAGCAATTCTACCTCTAAGAATTTATGCCAATGAGATAATCAGAGAAACATAAAGTTATTTATAACAGAAATAAAAAGCAAAATAGGAAAAAAATGTGTCACTACTGTTCCCAGTTAAACCACAAAAAGGTAACATGTTCTCCTCTGGAGGATGCATTAATAAATAAGTAAATGGAATGGTTTGGTAAAATAAAAATACAGATTTGTTGTTCAGATTTTCACAATGAGTAAGCAAATTGACCTCTGAGATAATTAACTCAATTATATATATAGATACATTTATTCTCCAGTTTTAGGCTTATGAGCCTTTACCAATTCCTTTTCCCCCTTTTCTTGTCCATTTTTAAACAATTATACTCACACTTCTACCAAAGAGTAGAGACAGCAAATCAATAGAAATTAAATTCAAAGTAGGGTACTTGACTACCTACTAAGCTCCATTTCTGTTATCAGAGCTTCTGAGCATGAATTTCTTGCTGAACAGGCCAAATTCAATAAATGGACGCTTTCTTGGAATGTCTTTTATGCTAGTCCTTTGTTCCCGCTACCAGTCCTAGGAGTCTCAACTATATTTCCAACCTAACAATGAAAAACTTAAGAGCGCAAAGGCAAGAACTAGAACTGGTATGGAGTTGGGAAATGAAAATGCAAAGCATCCCAAGAAAATGTCATTGTGGCAAACTATAAGACATAAAGCTTTACACCGATCATCGTCAGTCTAGAGATTTCCAGAAATGAAAACCTAACCATTATCATAAAGGTCTTACTGGAATGGGATGAAATTATACATGATTTATAACATAATTAAACAGTTGACTCTAAATCAATTTTAAAAATTCTAAATCTCTAAATTCCCTTATAAACTTCTTATCCTTGTATTTCTTCATGGGGAGAAAAATTGTAAAAGATTAATGAATGTATTCTAAAAGAAGAGTGGATTTAAAGCCAAATTAATTTTATAAAACATAGTCTACTCTGCTTGGCTTCTCTGAAGAGACTAAATGGAAATGCCAATCTTTCCCACTAGAGTTTAGAGACACAAATAATCTGTATCATGAAGCAATCATCTAAGAGTAAGAAGTAGTATCCTTATGCTCAGTTTAGTAAGCTAAATTATGTTTTGACACCATTTGATCTATTGTTGAGAAGTTTACTAAGAATTATATTAGAATACTTCTTTGGGTTTCATTCTGATTGCCTATTTAGAAATTCCATTTGAAGAATCAAGAGTTGGCCCCAAAACATTGACCATTAACAATATCAACAGCTGTCTTGTGTCTGTGTGCAAGCGTGAACAAAGTTCCAAGCACCTATTAAACAATGACAGCTGTGTTGGTTGGTTCTTATGACACGCTATTATCAAATAAAAATTTAATCAGGGCATGATCCTAATAATTCACACTACATCTTCATGCTCTTACTGCACGATAAATTCATAATTAATAAAAGTCTATTTGGAAATCACTTGTTGCAAAAATATAATGGTAATTAGAGACTGTTACAATAAATGTAGCTGAAGAAAAAGTTCCTATCATTAAAAATAAAACGATGTGAAGAAATATGTAGATCAACTACTTGAAATATCAGCCCTCTTATTTTAACAGAATGTTAGTTAAAAAAAAAAAAAACAACCTATATCATTCAAGGTAAATCAAATCAAATTATCTTTATTGACTTTATATCTAATATAAAAAGTTTCAAAGTATAAGAGGCATATTTTAAGCAGCAAGAATTAATTATGTTCTTTAAAAGCAGGCACTGCATCTTAGTGCCACCAAATTAACTCCAAATTGTAATGAAAAATTCATACAAAATTACTAAAGTTCAATTCAATCCAATAAAACAAAATGACAGGAGACCATTTTCTCTCATGCACATTTTGACAGATTAGCATTAAAAATACAAACAATATCCATTTAAAAGTACTGTACCCTTTATTAGATCATCAGTCCAACCTCGGGAAGTAGCAGCTTCAGTCCTCATAGAGTAACTTATCTCCTTCAAGATCCCATTATTATTTCACAGTTCTCGAACCCACCAAGAGTGTTGAGTGGTTCCTCATACATTCTGCAGCTACTGAAACAAGACAGGCGAAGGCAGCTCTACTTCAAACTATTTGTGAAACAAACACAAGAAAGAAAAAGTTGGAGCTGCATTCTCTCTTTTTCTCAGGAGGAAAAAGACCTTGCTGTGGTTACATGGACTGCAGATATTCAAACAAAGATGATGTCTGTTGAGTGTGGAAAACACAGCTTCCAGGCTAGAGCCCAACTATGAAGCCCGCCAGCCTACACACAACATTCCAGCTACCAACAAACGGCCTTTACACAGGCAGCCTCATAACGTGCCTTCATCTCAGGCCTCAAAATCAACCTCTTTCTTAGTGTTTTTAATAAAACTTGCCATGGGGTAACAAAGGATAATTTTATCTAGAACTTGCAGCTAAAGCTAAGTAGAAGTGCTTGTCTCCTCAAATGCATTTTATATTCTAATGATAATTTTTAATGTGAAAACTATAGCCCCTGTTTCAGCCAGTAAGCAATAAATGCTAATGTAGTGGTTCGGGATATTTCTCTCCTTCCTCTCTCCTTTCTCTCTCTCTCTCTCTCCTTTCTCTCTCTCTCTCTCTCTCTCTCTCTCTCTCTCTCTCTCTCTCTCACACACACACACACACACACACACACACACACACACAGAGTGAAACAAATGTTTCAAGAAACAATATGTCTAAGTACTGCAGGATGGCACTGTGAAATTTTCCATCCTGCTTTATGTATTCCTTTCTTCTTCCCTTGATTGTTCCCCTCTTTCTTTAAAAGGGTAGGAACCTACAATTTGGAAACCACTTCGCAAAACTGCCCAGTTAGAGGCATGCCTATGAACATTAATTACACTTAACTGTACACTAATGAATTAATGAATTAGTTTATGCTCAGTTTAAGCCAGTTGTAACATTCAACTAAAGCCAAAGAGCTCAGAAGTTTAAAGAGAGGGAAAAAATTTCAAGTCACATAACAAGGAATGAGAATCAGACAGGCATCAAGCTTATTAACTAGAAGATAATGAAACACTATTTTCAAAGTTGTGAGAGAAAAAATATATATCATAACCTTTGAATTCTACACAGAGCATGGAGAAAAATACCTTCTCCATATATCATAACCTTCGAACTCAACACAGAGCATCTTTAGATATTCCAAGGTGT